ACATTATATTATTTCAATGGCCTCAACTGAACATTGTGTATAATTTATAACATAATTCCGAATATAAGCCAATGTCTATATCAATTGTTATTCAATGGATTATTGTACAGCGATTTCTGTACCTGATTTTAATACTGAATTACAATTGAACCGTGAAACAAACACTTTAGTAAAGGATTAACCAGAGAATTTATCTCTGTAATTCAATGAATTAAAAAGTATCGTTCTCAATTTGAATAAAGCTCGTTTGCACTTTAGAACAGAGTTTAAACAACAGTTTATAGTGCATAGGTTGTAAATCTATAACCCGGGTTATCCCGACAATAAAGTTTACCAAAAATCAACATTACCATCACCAGTATGAGAAGTTAGAACATACATCGTAGAAGTCATATAAATTAAATCGTTATTCAATTAATTATGGTTCAATTCACTGTAGATAAACGATTTGTTAATCTAAATCCAATATTATCAAAACAAAAAAAAATCATTACTACATATGAAATTAATCAATCGAAGTATGAAATTAATAATTTTCACCATGTTATAATCGAGTATAGGTCAGACCTATATATAACATCGCCTAAACACATTCTCCGCCATATCGTTGATTTATTATTACAATAACTCAAAATCAGACAAGTAACGTAAATAAACATCACCATATTAAACAACAGAGATACATATGATTTAAACAATTTGCTGATATAAACCAAAGTACCGACACTGTCTGCGCCAATTTATTCGTCCTAAATCAAATGCTTCCTGAGTTATGCAATTGCGTTGTTCCTGTATTTATTGATACGAATAATAGTCGATGGAGAAATAAATAGATGAAATATTATCTATTGAAGTTATTTGCCAAAAAATTAAATAATATATTAATACGTTTGAAAGCAAAATAAAAACTAATGCATATGTGAATATTTAAAACCAGTAATATACATGTATATGCTGTATTCTTATGAAAACAAACTTGAAAAGAACTCTACATTATTAGCGTCAATGGTAATTGCCTCAGAAATTACTTGTTCGAAGGCCTTTGAATACTCTTTGTTCTTTTAGAAGCTGTTGATAATATATATAAAGCATATATGACATCTCGTTTTGCTATTGAACTCCTATCAAAATTCAGATCATTTTCATCAAATCGGTCTATAATTTCAGTCGTAGTGGTTATTTTCTTTGAAATCACAAAAGTTCTTTATGCTCTTGTTTAAAAGCATTGCCATCAATATTTTTGTATTCTTCTTGCTCAGCTATAATTGCAACCGATTTTTATTAGAAAGATTAGGAACAAGCCGAAAGTTTTTTGAATCATTCAAATCGTATGCTTGGTTCTCTCAAAAACTGCCAGTTGTTGCACGATTAGCATGGTATCTCCAAGATAGCTAGACTACCTTTGCCAAAAACTAACCACAACTTCTCTAAATCATTACAAATTGAATGTTTTTGGATCCTACTCATACTCTGTTCTCTCAAAACATCCATTTCTATTTTCTGCACTCTTCGCTCCGTATCTCCGTATCGGCTAGACCTGCCTTTGCCAAAAACTAATCAGCACATCTCCCTATCAATAGGAATCGAATGTTTTTGAACCATTCAAATCGGTTGATTCGTGCGCCTAACAAAGTGAATGAAAATAAGAAGACACACAAAACACACACGCACATCCATTTTTTCTGAGGTATGCCAAAATGTTCAAAAACCTTCAAAACGTAAAGATATGCAAAAATTTTCATTTTCAGATTTTCGGCACATGACTATAACTACCCTACGGGAAGTTAAAGATATCTGCCGTTTTTTAACTATTTCTTCAACATCGACTACATTAGCCTGATCTAAATTAGTTTGTTACGCTCATTCTACTATTTTATCCATTATATCATCAAAATTTTAGAGAATTTAAGTGGTGAAACAAAATAACGAAGCAGCGTTAAACGGGGTATTACTGTATTGTATATATATAAAGCTTAAAATATCCTAACTCGTCTTATGCATATTATAATTAATATTAAAATTATTGATTTGCCTGATTTTATTGACAACAATATTCAATGGGAAACAAATTTCAATTCTGCTTTATTTACCATATGCATATACATATATCAAACACAATTCCATTTTAGATGTAAATTTGCACAAGGTAACGCTTAAATAAGAAATGGAGCATATTCATTTCAATTATTTGGACTATGTAACAATTTCAATGCTTCATCCAATAATTTTTAAATGTTTGTCTATTGATCACCAATGTTCGCTTGTCGATTAAAATATCTGTGCACAATCTTTCGCTTCGATTTTTGTAAGGTATGTATTATTTTTGACCAAAATAGAGTTAAGCATATTATTTTTTTTTAGTTTATAGTTTATAGTTTATATTAGAAATCATATAATCTATCTAAATATTTAATCGATTGTAACAAAGAAATTACTTGTTAGGGCTATGGTATTCCAATCGGGTGTATCAGGTTTAATACCCGCCACGGATAGCCTAATGTTAAGTGGTAGTGTTTTTGGTTTCCACTTGGAAATATTGATAGTAATATGTTTTCAAGCAAAAATAGTCCTGCTGGGCGTTGTAGCAGTATTCAAAATAGGGAAACAACTAATAGTCTAGTCATTATAGTAAGTGAACCCTGAAAAATAAAAAATACCCTAAAATAGCACCTTAAAAGTTGTCTCAAAACCTCTACATATGTTAGGGTGTACGTACCATATGTAAGTTTTGACACAACTTTTAGGGTGGTATTTTAGGGTATTTACATCCTTACAGCTGGATATCTCTAAGTCCGAGATTCTTACCAATTTAAGCTTAAATGAGTGGACTATAAGAATGAACTATGCCTCACGAAAAAGAACATTCGATAAAAAAATACAAAAATCTCACATGTTGAGGCGATACAGTGAGTTTTCTTAAAAATCGCACCAAGAAGAATTTTATTCAAATCGACATCTGCCATTCTGAAATCAATGCGATAGAAGCAGAAGATGGAGCAAACGGAATATGTTTACATCTTCATGCTGCATTACTTCTATCTGGGAGTTGAAAATGCACTCTATTTGCACTGGTAGAAAACGAATACTACTTTGTGATTTTACACCCACGTTTCCTTGCCATGTCATAGTGATTTTATGTGCATTGCTCGCTGTCTTGGCATAATTGAAGCTAAGCAATTCTAAGAGAAATATTAAAAAAGTAAAATATTATACTGATATTTGAACAAAATATTCCAAGAGTAAAGACGTATCGGTACGTCTTTTAGTATTCCGATAACATTTCAAAATGTAAGGTGGCAAGTAACTTTCAATCGTTTTGAAATAATTTAAACTAGGAGTGCATGGGATCGTGCCTTAAGGCTAATTGCTGGAACTTTCCGTACCGGAAAAAATAGATTTTCGGAAAGAAAATGAGTTTTTTGAAAAATTTGTTTTTATATTTTTAATTTTTTTCAAAATTTGAACATTTTTACAAAGCAATCGAGCTCTGGAGCTGTTTTAGAGACGAAGTATCGAAGCATCGTATAAACATTGGTACGGAACTCATGGGAATGTAAACAAAATTAGTACTAATTATAAAAATAACTATAAAATATTTGATAATTTGATGTGCATATGTCAAAGAATCATTTTTGACCCTCAAATGGCATTTTTTGTTACTTTTTAATTGGATCTCCAAAACCACTTATTTAAAACTTCATTTCGTCAATACAATTAAAATATTTCTTGAATCATTCAAATCGGATGCTCGGTTCTCTCGGATCAAATTACCATTTTTGGTACTTTTTGTCCCGTATCTTGGAAACGGTTGGACCTGCTTTTACCAAAAAGAAAATCAGCACGTCCCCCCATCAATACAAATCGATCGACGTCGAAATCGTCGATGAAAATTTATATCCACACACGCACATATAAATACATCATTTTTTTCTAAGGTATGCCAAAATGTTCAAAAGGCTTCAAAACGTAAAGATATATAAAAAAATTCATTTTCGATTTTTTTGAGATTTTTAAAACATACTCTTTATGGGATGTTAAAAATATAATTTTATATTCTGCCAATCTCCGGTTTCATTTTCATTCAGCAAAAATATTCTTTCTAAATGTTATTTGTATTAAACTATAAATACCTTACATAATTATGCTGAATTATTAAGGTAATTGATTTAATATATTACCTACTCATGAGTTATTGTTCAGACTACATTAATAAAAAATAAGCATTAATAGCGGAAAATTTCGAAGAAATTGCTCATTGATTTGATTTTGCGTTGTATATTGTCTTACATCAGTAAGGGTCAATATTCTCTTCATATTATTGATGCAAAGTTGGTTTTGATAAAAATTATGTCACTTATATATTTTTACCGTGGCTTCTATATTTGCAATTTTACCACAATGTTTAAGAATATTATACCAAAACTCAATTCATCTATTTTAGTAAAATTTGTATTTTACTATTTAACATTTCTTATGGTGATTTCGTAAAATTTATATATTATTTCATTTATTTGTTAAATTTGTTATACTAAATGTTTTACACAAAATGTGTCTTATATATTTGCAATTTTACTACAATATTTAAGAATAATATACCAAAACTCAATTCAACATCTATTTTAGTACAATTTGTATTTTACTATTTAACATTTCTCATGGTGATTCCGTAAAAGTTATATATTATATCATTTATTTGTTAAATATTGAGATTAATGAGTTCACTAGCAAAAAAATTATTTAAAAAAATAATTTGAGTTTAATTCCATGCCTAAAGAGTTTCAAAATACTTTAAAGAAATATATGTACGTGTTTCGACCAGTATTAGCTTTGAATATGTCGCTAAGTCAATATTAGATTTGAAAAAAAAACCATAGCAGTAAATAAAACATTAAGATCATCCAGAATAGAGTTCTAAAAAAACTTAGAAATAAATGTTAGAGAAAACTACACGAGGTAAGAGATAATTTAATTTTCTCCACCCTCTAATCTCGTCTACTAACCTTGACTTTGCGGCCTCGTCGGGCCGCGATTGATCTGGACTGACGTCGCAACGCCTCCAGGGATCCGGGTTAGAAGACGATTGACTCAACTGCGACCCCTGGGGTCTCCTTAAGGTCTCCTCTGACCCTTTGTAATTCACCACTAATGGTAATTGGCAACAATCACTGATATTATACAAACCAGCACCAAAACTAATTGAATCACTTAACAATGATTGTGCATACAATGTTTTAATCAAATGTTTCCGTTTGCCAAATGTAGTATCGACACTGACTGTTTGCTTGGCAACAAAATTGTTAAATTTGTTTATTGGTTTTGTTTAATAATATTTATGTTTATCGTTATTTCACTATTTCACAAAACAATATTTTATTTATCAGGCACTTAGAACTTTCTATTATAACGCAAATAGTAAAATTATCACTGAATTTATGAAATAATTATATGAATAAGATTTATATATTTTAGGTTTGCTATGATCGTATACTATAACATTTCACTAAAGTTTTACGTGTGATTAAACTTTATTTCACAAACATTTATTGTTAGTTTATTTCGCACATTATTAATAACACTTTATTAAAATAATTCTTATCTAGTATTATGTGCTATGTGAGTTTTAAATATAATAAAATAACGTAATCAGTTACTTGCAACTTCACAATCAAAGAACAAGGCATGATTTATCCAAGATAAAGAACTGTTTTTCTAACAATCAGCAACCTCTACATTCCGTTGACCATTCTGAAAAAAAATTAAATTTGTTATGAATACAAATTATATATGTATAATTATTATAAAATTTATCCAATAACTGATCTATTATTGCATATCTTTGCCAAATAGTTATTAAAAGTTATTTTCTCACAAAACAATTTGATAAAAGTCCTATTAGCAAAATAATTTAGATACTTTAATTTTCATGCATATGATTAAATCAAACCACTTAATAATTGTCGGGTAATATTCTATATTAAAATTTTTAATAAAACTTTTCGAAAAAAACTAATTTTCAAAAATTTCTTTTAATATTGATAATTTCTAAAATTTAGTAAAATTCAAAATGAATTTGTCTTTTCAGAAGTTTTGTATCAATATAGTGAAATAATTATTCTAGATATCTCTAAAATCTATCTAGATATTTTTAAGTTACATTGTTGTCTGTAAAATTTCTCTATAACTCTTATGAAGAAAAAAATATTATATCTAATTATAACATAAAATTGGCAAAATCCTGAAAGAATTTTCCATAAATTTGCGAACTCTCGGAAGCTTCCAAAGTCCAATTATTAATTTAATTTTTCACATCCGACGTTTAATTGAATTAAAAAAAGCATAAAGTTCATCCATTTAATGACTGAACTTTTGTCCGTCGACTTGCTACTAGAACAACTCTTGTCCTGAATTTAATTGCTAGCAACATTATTCGGCGCTAAATGTGAGCACCGACATCGGTCAAGTGCAATAAGCGTCACTTTCGGAAAACTTTGTATTGTCGGGCTCGATTATACCAGTTATTTCGTTTCTCTAACTTTATTTGTAAGTAGAAACAGGTGCACGTGGATGTAGTAAGTGAACAAGTAATTAGAAGATGACTAGTGGTGAATGAAATCGTGCCTTAAGTCAAATTCCTGGAACATCTCGTACCATAATTTAACTTTTTTAAAAGCTTTAAATATTTTTGAAATTTTGGAGCAAATTACGTTTTTTTTTACTATTTTGATTTTTTGTTGAATTTTGTATTTTTAAGCGAACGCTCTGTGTGTCATTTTGAGAGTATAAATCTTGGTATGAAACCCAGAAAAATGTGAACAAACTTATACTTATTTTTAAAACCTCTATAAAATATCTGATAATTAGATGTGCATATGTCTAATGATCAAGCCACATAAAAACAAAAAAGCAGCAAATAATGATCAAAATGAAAGAATTTGATTGGCTACTGCGTAAAAAGTCTAAGCTCTCTGTTGAAAATAAGTTGCTGCTATATAAATCAATTATTACACCAATCTGGGCCTACGGAATTGAGCTCTGGGGATGTGCTTACAAATCAAATATAGCTATAATGCAGAGAATTCAGTCAAAAATTTTACGTACAATTCTTAATTCTCCGTGGTACGTGACAAATGAAAACATTCACAGCGATCTCAACACGAAAACGGTGCAATTAACGTTCAAAAAATTCAAGGAAAAATACAAACGCAAATTGGACTCATCTTCGAACCCATCAATAGTTGACATTACTCAACCTTTTGGCATAAGGAGATTGAAACGACAATGGCCTTTAGACTTAGTCTTGGATTAGGTCTAATATAATATTATCATACTAATTGTAAAACTGAGAAGATCTCATTGGAGTTCTTCTTAGGCATCGCTCTTAAATATTGTCAAATTATCTTATAGGAATCTTTATGTATTTCTGATTGCTAAATAAAACAGAGTTAAAAAAATGTCTAATGATCATTTAGACATTTCAATGACTGATTATAATATTTATATTGCAAATTATGATAAATCCTACTGTCGATAATTGCAACATTGATTCCTAAATCTATAAATAACTCTTATATTTATAGCTCAAACATAAACCATGTATGATTATTTGAAATATAAGCTTCTAAACACAAGTCCTTCGAGAGCTCGTGGAGCTAAAGAGCAATATATCAAAGAGTGTCGAGATATGAGTGCTAATGAATTAGCAGAAGCATTTACGCTGTATTATCTATGCATGCATTATACATTATGTGATAATTACTCTACGGTTTTATTATTGAACGTTGTCAACTGTGGAAATTAATTACAATTAGAAATGCGCGGGTACGCTGACACATGTGCACGTTTTGGCACATGTCACAAACTAATTTACGCCATTTCGTAATTTACACGGTATCATCATAATTGTTAGATAATTATGCGTATACACATATGAAAACATATATTTGTACCTATAATTGCTTTCTGAATTATATATATATATATATATATATATATATACATATATTTGGAAAGGCAAAGTAAAACTTTGCTGAAATTTATTGGAAAATTACCACAGCTCGTGAAAATGCTTTCAAGCACAGTAATTATCAATTGCATAAGCATCAAATCAGAACCTGTTTGCCATTTCTTGGTTAAAATAGAAATGTAATGGTAATGCTATGTTACGGGTCTAAAATCGTGTGAGTTGGTAGTCACGACCTATCAAACAGATATGTGTTTTCTGTGCGATCAGGAGTTTTGCATATAAAACTTATCCTTCAAAACGCACAATTATCAAATTACAATGTTATCATAAACGCAACCTTTTGATGTCAATTTGATAGCACATACGTGAAGTTAGGTTTGTAACTTCTCACTCATTCAATTATAAATCCTTAACTTGGCTTTATCATAACATTTCGATTTTAAATATCTATTTTTTATTAGATCCCGGTGTTATTGGTAGTTACTTATTTGTCCCTGTGCGGTATAATTTCAAATATTATATCAAGTTTGATATTCTGCGCTAATCGGGCTAACTACTTCCATTCCTCATATTGCTTTCAGGGTACGGAACTCGTACAGCGTTAGTAATTTCACAGACGTATAAAATGTTTGGTATGTAATTTAATTATGTATTAACAAAATGTACAACGTATTTGCAACGAGTACATTCCGAATGCAGTTACGGATTGCATTCGCTCCAATAAAATTTTAATTTAAGTTTGAATTATACCATCGCATTCGCAACTTTGCTGAAGGCATTGGAGTGGAATACCTAGTTCCACTCCACTAGTCACGCTGAAGCATCGTGGAAAATAAAAAGAACAACTGCAGGTTTACAAAAACTTACAAGAACTACACTTTTTAATTACACAAATAACAAGTTCATTTAGATTTCCAACGTTTGAACCGTAATATATACAGCACGAATATTTAATATCACTAGAATTTACTACGATTATTTTATATATTTTATTCTTGTGTATAATATAATATTCTATTATTGTGTAGGCTGTATTTTCAATGAGAATTTTATGATAAAACTTTTATACTAAATTATACTAAATTCTGAGGAAAAGTAGTTTCCAGAAAACTGTATTTATATTAGGTTAGTGTAAAAGCGGGTACGAAGTGCTTGTATACTATGAAAAGAAATTTATTACATTTGCAAATATAAGCAGGACGTTATACAATTCAAATTAGTAATTCATATTTATTCTTATAAAAATTGCAATTCGCTTGCAATTCTGTGTTGCGTAACGTTCTTAATTTCTTAAGCAAATTTGTTATGTGAAACGTTTTAATATAGTAATGCACATTAATAAAATTAAATTGTTAAGTAGAATGTGATATGTGGTCATTCCAAATAAAATATTTTATGCATTTAATCATGGCATTTAAAAAAAATGTTGATGACTTGTTTACAAAAAAAAGTTTTTATCAGTTATATTCAAAAAAGTGGTTCTGATCCTTACAGTGGTTCTGAGAGAATTACGTTTTTCTACAACTTTTTTCGACAAACATTTGTCAATGTTTTAATCAAAATTCTATACACACACGCATATATATATATATATATACGATATATATATATATATATATCCCCACAAAAGACCCTGTAAAAACTCGTGCTCTGAAATAAACTACATTGACAAGGCCGCTGCGAAATTACATAAGATGAACTACCTACTTACACAGATTCAAATTAAAGCCAATGCTTTAAAGTTTTTACGGCCTTTGTATACAATTGATCGATATACTCAGATTTATTTCCCATTTAATTGAATCCGCAGTTCTAAAGATATTCCGAGGAAAAAGTTTACAATAAATCCATGAATTCTTGTTGTATTTCACAATGAATGAAACTTTTGTCCATGCAGTTCCGTTACATTCTACAAATGTACAAGATACGAATTCTATTCAACGAAAGAAAACTTTAAATTAAAACAAATACCTAATTTTGTAAAACTTCTAAAAGTTGTTTAAAAACAACAATATTAGTATGAATTAGTCATATTTATCAGTCTTAATCGATCTGAACCGCCGTATATTCTATAAATATACAGTTTTGTGGAATCTATTGACAAAAAAATTAATTAGGGAAATTAACAGTCAGTTCAAAAATTATACCAGTTTAGTTTTTCAGTGATATGTATACTGATGATTATAATAATAATAATAATTTATATAAAAAAAAATTCTTACTTGGCATTCGGCGTAATACAAGCTATAATTGGAAAAGCAAAGTGCTTTAATAACTCATCGAAGTTTTTTCATGAAATGGTCCATGATGCAAACGAGCAAAAACATCGAGCCCATAATATTTTTCAATTATAGTAAAGAGATCATATGGGCTGAAACGTCGTTAACGTTCAACATGAAAAGTGCTTCAATTCTCGCACCGACTCGAATGTTAAATAAATCAGTTTTAAAAATAAAATTATAAAGATTGAAATATTTTTGCACGTGGGTAAAGTAATATAAAATTCACGAACAAAAAATCGATTTTATTAAAATTAAAAATAAATACAGGTATTTTCAAGTATATTTGAAAAGATAATTTTTTTGCGAAAAGGTAGAGTAGCTTTTTTATTTTGTAATTGAAAAATCTCGCAAAAATCTCACTCATTACATTAACAGACAAAAATTGTATATAAATTAATATTGTCTCACTATGTCTAAAAGCAATTGAATATAGTTT